ACGTACTGTATTGTCAAGGCATACAGTGGAAATATGTAAATTTAGCAAACATAGCTTCAAAAGCCCAGTTTCCCACGATTTCTAATTGTTTGTAGTTTAGGGGCATATTATCTACTTGCAGATTATGTCACTGTAAGGTAATGTTGGCTATGCTGGTTATAAGGAGAACTGCTTACCTGCTCTGATTTCGTTATTTTTATTTTTTACCCGTTTCAGGTACTTCTACGCCTCCTCTGCGCAGTTCTGCGCCGAGACCTAAGGACATCATAAGGCGTCTCCAGGCCAAGGTTTCAAAGTACCGGAAGACCATCGCAAGGCTGCGCAAGCAAGAGAAGAATATGCCTCGATCGGCTGCGGAAGCTCTCAACATCATTCGCCCTCACGTGACAGACGAGGTATTTCACCTACTGTCAAGCCATGTTAAATTGAAATCCAAGGGCAAGGGAAAACGATTCCCGTTATGGTTGAAAAAGTTTTCTCTTCATCTCAACTTCCGTGGGCCGCGGGCATACCGTTTTTTGTCTCGTTATCTCACACTTCCTACTCAGCGCACACTAAGAAGATGGCTGTCGGATGTCAAAATGACACCTGGAATTATACCAGGCATTATGTCATCCATTTTTACAAAAACACAATCATGGAGTAAGCGCGATCGCGTCCGCACTCTCATCTTCGATGAAATAGTGTTAAAAAAAACTTGTCATATGACGTGTCACAAGATGTTGTTCATGGATTTACGGATGATGGCTACGAACGAACCTCAACGATTGCCGACAGAGCCCTGGTTATCCTTCTTTCCGGAGTTTCCCGGAGATGGGTTCAACCAGTCGCTTATACAATTGGGCACACGTCTACGCCATCTACCGTAATCCGGAACTTGTTGATCTCGCTCACTGAGCAGTTGCAAGACATTGGAATTACAGTTAAAGCTGTAATTTGTGACCAAGGGGCTTCCAATGTAAGCTTAGCAAACCACTTGGTGTCTCTGTGGCGCAGCCCTTTTTTTTCGTAAAACGTGAACGCGTTTACTTCATTTACGACGTTCCCCTATTGGTGAAAACAACTCGGAACAACCTGCAGGCCCACAGGCTTCATATCGAAAATGAGATTGTAGACTGGGCAGATATTGTGAAACTGTACCACTCCACACGTGAGATGCGACTGCGGTTGGCGCCAAAGTTGACTGAAAGACATATCTACCAGAAACCATTCAGTAATATGAAGGTTAAGCGGGCAACCCAGGTATTGAGTGCTTCAGTGTGCGTCGCGCTTTTAGCTCTTGTCTATGCGAAACAGCTGCCTGAAGCAGCCATGTCAACTGCTTATTTTTGTGACCGCATGGACAAGCTGTTTGATTGCTTGAATAGCTCCAGTCCAAAGAAAACGGAGCAAAAGTTGCGCCATGCTATTCGAAAAGGGCAGCCGGATTTAGTTGAATTTCTCGGAAAACAGCTTCCATGGATTGCGTCTTGGAAGTTCGAAGGCAAACGTCAGCCACACACTATCATCGGGTGGCAAATTACGATCAAAGCCGTCTTGCTGCTGTGGGAAGATGTTTCCCAGAATTACGACTTTGAGTTTCTCCTCACGCGTCGACTTCAACAAGACCCACTTGAACAGATGTTTGGACACATAAGACAAAAGCAGGGATGCAACTCGAATCCTAATGTGCCTCAGTTCATATCTGGCCTGAAACACATTGGGATTCAGAAGCTCCTCACACTGTCACCGAAGGGAAATGTCGAGGAGGATGAGACGGACCTCCTCCAGGAGTTGTCCCCATTTTCACTTAGTAGCGAGTCACTCGTGGATATTGTGCAGCATGTCCCACAGGACGACTTTCCATCTTTGGAAAACATCACTGAGATGGCAGCCCATGAGGAGTCCCATGTTATTGACAACTCTGCTACTTATTATGTTGCTGGCTTCATTGTTAAAATGTTTACTGAGAAGGCTGCAGAAGGTTGTTGTTGTCCTGACTTGCTTAGAGATGAGCACAGTAACCTTGATGAGCCACATCAGTTTTTTATGATGCTGAAAGCGTACCACGTCCCAGGCAAGCTCTTCGGCAACTTGACTGTGCCATCAAGCGCAGCTTTCACACTTGTTCAGCAGCTCGAGTCAATCTTTCTTTCTGTTATCGAAAGTGTAGCGCACCTCCGAAGTGTTTGTGAAACATTGTACATAACTCTCTCGCGTGTTGGTGATTTTAATTTTTGCACTCCAGAGTGTCGTGCACGGTTTTTAAAAATGTTTTGCCGAATTCGAGTGTGCTGGCATGTCCGTTTTGTAAATAGAAACTTGGATAAAGTTCGCTTCCATTCTCGCGTCTCTGGTGTACTGCTTGCAAAGTTCAGTGGGTAGAAGATGATGTTTCAGCCTTTATGTTGCATCTCATAAGATATCTGCAACAGTAAAATCAATTTTATTGGGATTTTATTGGGCCGTGCAGACTGCACACTAGCCATTTCTTGGGATTATTTGCAGTCAGTAGGTTGCACTCTACTGGTCTATTGTAATGACTGCTTTTTTAGATGGTCATGTCTGTTTTTTTCCTATTGTGGTCATGTGGAATGTGTAAGTTTCCATATTGACCTTTGTTAATACTCTCTTAGGTCACTCATCTCGGATGCAACTTTCTTTTCTTTTGGACACTGTTTCTGCTTTACACATATGTGGAGCGTGAAGGAGATTGAGATCAGGGGTGTCCACCAACCTGGCAAGCCTGAAATGCTCAAGGAATTTTGGATCACCTGGAAAAGTCAGGGAATTATCAGGGAAACTGTCAAAAGGTTGGCTAAATCAGGGAAAGTGACGAGTAAAAGTGGCACGGTGGTGCGGAACGAAGCCCGGCGATCAGGTGTCGTCACGGTTCTGCTGAATAACATTGCCCGAAATGTCATCCTTCGAAGGAACAGCCAGGAAATTTTATCAAAATAGTCAAGGGAAACCTGGAAAAATCATGGACTTTGGAAAAGTCATTGGGTAGACACCTTGTAAGATGTACCTAATTAGGGAAGGGCGCCACGAGAGCGCACGACACGAGAGCGCCGACGGGAGAGCGCGCGACATGAGAGCGCTGCGACACGAGAGCGCACGACGGGAGAGCGCCGCGACACCAGAGCGCACGACGGGAGAGCGCCGCGACACCAGAGCGCACGACGGGAAAGCGTCGCGACACGAGAGCGCCTGCCATTAGAGCGAGCGTCACGAGAGCGCATGTGCGTGCCTTGTTTTCTCGAATAGAACGATTTTTACGTCATTTTATTGGTTGAGGATGCAGACCTGTGGGAAGTTTAAAAAATACAATTGTACGGCTAAACGCCGTAAAATGTAACCAAACATTCCGCGGACCTACCCTTTGCAATTACCGGACACACAGAAAAACAAAAAGGACAAGGTCATATTCCGTAAAACGTTTTGGTCCCGCTAAAAACGGGTTAGCTGCGTTAGAGACGTCTTCTTCTGTAGTTTTTCTTCGGCTTCATGGTGTCCAAATTTTCCGCCTCACTTTCGCGTTTGCACATCATGATTAACTATCCCCAGCTCGCCTGGACATTAACTGTATTGTTTGAAGAACGTTTGACACTGAAAAATTGAATGGAGTTCATGAGAACGTGAACCCTAAGACCTTTTTCCCTTTCCACTTATCTCTGAACAAAGGGCTGCTTCTTTTCACAGGTTCGAAAATAACTTTGGAGAACAATGGAAAGACGATCTCTTCGTCGCACTAAACCTGAACGAAAGAAATACAAGCATTGGAGAGGACAACCTGTGTGTTCTTTCACTGGAAAGCGGGTTAATTTAAACGTTCAGGTTTAACCCGAATTTTCTAAGGAGGCACACGCGAAGTTCCGGGACACGATTCTGGAGATACGGTGAAAGGGGTTACAACTTCCATGTCGGTCGGCCTTTGTTCATACGTAACAAAGGTCAAACTGTCCACCAATAACACCTACCGTTATTGGGAGAAACCCTTCCAAGGTTAATCAATCGTCAACCGTGGGTATAGAGGCGAATATAAAAGGGGAGCTGGGCACTGCGGGCGTTCGTGACGACTAAGTCGGATCTTCCAACGGAGTGCTGTTCTGGACGTGGAAATGCTATCGATCACAAAGTCCAAGAAAGATCATCCACTTTTGCAACACAATGGTTATTCCTATCGCCTGGATAGACTGAACGAGAACACCGGACAGAGGACATGGAGGTGCTCGAAAAAAAGCTGCAGCGGTCGAGCCACAACAGCGGGGTGGGACAGTGCACTGACCCTCGTCAAGGTAAGCAAACGGTTATTGTACCATAAAACTTCTGTCTCTAGAATTTTTGATTTGTCAGAACTCGATTATGCGATTGAGCTATTACGTACGCCGCCTTCAGAGTGCCACCACCGAGTCGCCTTCAGTGTGCCATTTTTATAATAACATACTTTTAATATATCTGCACACTTGCGCAGACCACCGGCGAGCACCAGGGTCACCTGCCGAATCCCGATGTCTGTCGGGCAGAGGAAGTGATTGCTGCGGTCAAGGAGAAAGCCAGGACAACCGATTATCAACCGCGAATGATGATTGCGCAAGCTACCAGTGGCCTAACAAGTAAGCAGAGATATTTCACCAGGATTCTAACTAAACAAGTTCTTTAGATAATCGTGGTCGTCGTCATCGCAAGGAATCCTATAAATTTATAGACAACGACCTAAACTAAAAAGGATAAAAATAAAAGTTTGTTTTCTCACTCTCTCTCTCCAGCAGCCCCAAATACTTTCGTGGTGTTCCTAAGTGCAGAAAATTGACAATTTAATTACAGGTTCTGAGCGGCTGAAGCTTCCCTCGGTAAGCGCATTGGCCCGCTCAGCACAAAGGGCACGCCGCGCCTTAATCATGCCGCTGCCTGCTCCACAGCATATTCACGAGATCGACCTCCCCAGCTGGCTTGAATCGCTTCCAGACGGGCGATCGTTCTTGCTGTATGACTCTGGCGCACAAGACAAAGGTCGCCTATTCATGTTTGCGACGGACGAGAACCTTCGACTCCTCAGCCAGTACGCTGACTGGTTCGCCGATGGCACTTTCGACGTCTCGCCGTCGCTCTTCCATCAGGTACGACGCACGCCTATGTTGCTCTACATATGTAAGACCTGGCGGCTTTAAATTTTTGTTCTAAAAATTTGTATGTGACTACAGTGCGACGCTTCCATCTCATCGGGTCGCTTCCAAAATAGTGCGCCCTTACTTTGCAGGTCTGTACCATCCACGGACTTGTTCATGGCAAGGTGCTACCGCTAGTCTACTTACTGCCTGATGACCAAACGGAGCCAGGAAGCCTACGGGCGCGTTTTCAGGACACTCAAGGAACTTTGCCCCCGACTGTCACCTCAGACGTTAATGATGGATTTTGAAGTGGCGGCCAAGCGAGCTTTTCAGTCGGTGTTCCCGACAGCCAAAGTGACGGGCTGCTTCTTCCACCTAAAACAGTCGTTTGTTCGTCGGATGCAGGAGGAGCACCTCATCGTCAGGTAAATCAGTCAAAATAACAAGTAATTATTGACCTCTCAGGTATGAAATTTTCTACGCAGATATCGTGAGGACGGTGACTTCCGAAGAAGAGTGAGCATGATACCGGCACTGGCGTTTGTTCGACCCGGTGACATTGCGCGAGGTAAAGAGAATTTTTAGTACTGGCGGGCAAGGCCTCGTGCGTTGCCAGCCTCGTTGTCATATCAACGTCGTGCAAGACTGATTTCCGTTACTTGTCTGGATTGGTTCTCGTTAAATCTGGTCTTAGTTTAAGAATTTATGTACATTGCTTTTGTAATTATCAGCATTTTGCGTTTGTTTGTGTCCAGGACTGGAAGAGCTCCAAGACGATGCTCCCTCAACAGACGACGGCCTCAACAAAATGTTCGATTACTTCGAGAGGACGTACGTGGGCTCCAGCATCGGAAGGAGCCGCTCGCGTAGGCCAGCACTTTTCCCGCATGACTTCTGGAGCTGCTACGAACGGATCACCGAAGGGCTCCCGAGGACCAACAACCACGTCGAGTCCTGGCACAATGCATTCCAGAAGTCCTTGGGGCTGCATCATCCGGACACGTACAAGCTAGTGGCCGCATTCCTAAGGGAGCAGAGCTTGACAGAGCAGAAGCTGGCAGATGTACTTCGCGGAGAGCCTCAAAGGAGCAGCAAGGCCACCTACGTCCGCGTAGCAAAGAATCTGAGCAAGCTGGTTGAAGAGTACGACCAAAGGTGCATGCTAGAGTACCTCCGCGGTGTCGCGCAATCATTCAGTCTTTGAAAATTTTTTTTAGTACTATGGAACGGAAATTGATAAACAACTATATTTCCGAAACTCTGTATCTTGCGTCTTCATTACTAGTTTGCGGAAATTGTATTTTTTAGACTTCCCACAGGTCTGCGTGCTCAGCCAGTAAAATGACGTAAGGCGTTCGATTCGAGAAAACAAGGCGCGCACATGTGCTCTCGTGACGCGCGCTCTAATGGCAGGCGCTCTCGAGTCGCGACGCTCTCCCGTCGTGCGCTCTGGTGTCGCGGCGCTCTCCCGTCGTGCGCTCTCGTGTCGCAGCGCTCTCCTGTCGCGCGCTCTCCCGTCTGCGCTCTTGTGTCGTGCGCTCTCGTGTCGTACAGCCCCTAATTAGGCAGTGCAGATTGCATGCCAAGCCTTGGTGGAATCATTTGTGATGAGTGGGTCGCAGGTACACCGGGCACCAGTCTGATTTAGCAGTCTTTTGTCAGCCATTTCATGTGCGCTTGTTATGGTAGTGGTCATGGTAAACCTTACATGTTAAATGTGACATGTTAAACGTGACATGAACGTAAAAACTGTATTAGACCGTCGGTTGGCTTTCAGTTCTTGTTATTTTGGTCATTATTGTCACTTAAATCAGCAGGAGCAAGGTATTTTTAATTCTGTAGTTCAGGCTGTGTTAGGGTTATTTAATGACTATGTCACAGACTAAGAAGGTCTATACAAGTGGCAATCTTGTTTAGGCATTTACTTGTCTGTTTTTCTCATTGTGGTCATCGTGCATTTCAGATTTCTTCTGCTGAGCGTTTTATTTGCATACAAATTGCATTGGATCAACGAGCTTTGATACTGCATGGCCAGTTTTTTTTTTAGTATGTGTTGCTGATGCTGCATATGTTATGTGTGTGGTGCACCTTCCATGAAACATGCTTGAGAACACAAAACAGGCTTGCAATCCAATTGCAGTTGTAACATTGTAATTCCAGTTGTTTGATAAGATTTTCATGCATGCCATAATATGCTTGTCATTTTTTTTGTAGGATGTATTGTTTGTGAATCCTTGATGCACGGTGCTTATGTTTTGTAGTTTTGGTATATATACGAGGCACAAACTGCCCACCATATTTTTGTTGCGAAAATAAACTGTGTTGATTACTCCCTGGTGGTGTTCTTCTGGACAGCACAAACCTACATGGGTTTCCTGGCTTGTAAAGTCAGTGTTAACTGTATATAGTATTGTCCATTAGTTGTCCGCATTAGGAATCGTACATACGTGTGAAGTAATTACAGCTTAAATTTACCATGCGGGAATAGTAGGAAAAACATAACTCGCGGCAAACCAGATGGCGCAGGCTACCGCCCAATACACTACGCCAAACTATATATCTATCCATCCGGTAAGTATTTTTATTGTGACTCCATTCATTCAGTTGGGGACTACGACGGCCACTGGGTGCGCTCCCTGCCAGCTAAATGGGCCGCTTTGGCCTATGGGAGTGTCCGCTCTTTACCTTGTGTAGATTACTCTATGGCTGTGGCCGCAAGTGAATGCGACGTAGTTGGCGGTGTTCCAAAATGTACTCGATCTTACTCCAGGATAAGGTGTTTAAACCTTGGCGTTCTAAAACCTACCCGCGTCCAGTGTTTTTCAATATCTGTTTTGTCACGTGACACGACCCGTCGGAGTAACTTGGATCTGTTTGGGTAACATTTGGAACGCAGCCGTAGTTCTGAAGCGGCCCATACATACTCTCGTCAAGCTTCGGGGTGTTTGCCGCTTGGGGCGGGTCGGAGATCTACTAACGAAACGTCATGCGCAGGCCTTGTCTTCTAGGTGGTATTGGCCCGCGTCGACCGTGGTTTATGGGCGCAAACATAATCTTTTTTTTTTTTTTTTGTAATCTGTTTTTGGCTTGAAAATAAATGCAGACAATGTTAGCAAAACTTCAAGTAACAAAAATAAAAGAAAACGCGGTTGCGTTTTCTTTTACGACAACGCTTGCTGCCGGCGGTTTTCGTCTGCATGTCGTCTGCTTTCTTTCGTCGGTCAGTTGCATCCTCGGACGCTGCTTCCGAGACCTTTTTTTTGTCGTGGTTGGTTAGAAAACAGCCAGAAGGCGTCACATGACGGTCCAAGAGAGGGCACAGGTAGTCCTTTGGTTCACAGAAACCAGAAGTATGAGGCAAGTGAGATCGAAGTTTCGAGCCACTTTTCGTACGCGTCCACCCACCCGTCGGACTGTTATGCGCTGGGTACATCGATTCAACACGGAGAGCACTGTGCAGACCAGGCTGCGAGTACTCGAAGAGAGGTCGCCACAGCAGAACAAACGTCACGCCGTGCTTGCGGCATTTTTCATTGAACCCACGCCTGTCCGTGCGACAAGTCAGAAGTTAACTTGGTATCTGTAAAAGTTTTGTCTGGAGGGTGATCCGCCAACATATGTATCCGTCCAAGCCACAGGTTCTGTTCGAGCTGCAGCCAGATGACTATGAACGGCGAAAGCAGTTCTGCGTAGACGAACTTGGGCGCATCTCCATAAACAGGAACCAGCTTCCGTTTCTGCTTTTCACAGACGCAGCTATTTTTTATCTGGATGGGCACGTGAAAAAGCAGAACAACCGTTGCTGGTCCGAGACGAACCCCCACTGGATCATTGAAGAGGCTGTTCAGTCACCAAAGGTCGTAGTATGGTGTGGACTTTGGAGGGAAGGCGTTGTCGGTCCATTCTTTTTTGAGGGCACGGTCACCGGCGACGCCTACCTTCGCATGCTCGAACAGGACGTCTTCCCAGAGCTGGAAGCTTCGCACATGCAAAGGCAGGTGTGCATCTTCCAGCAATACGACACCGCAGTGAGAGACTGGCTGACAGAACCTTTCCCGGCAACTGGATGGCTCGAGGGTCACTGACAATGCCCTGGCCCCCACGGTCCCCTGACCTGACAATTAGTGATTATTTTGCTTGGGGTTTCGTGAAAGCCCAGGTCTAAGCAGTTTGCGTGCGCACGATGACGGATTTAAAAGAGCGCATTCAATCCGTCTACGATGCGATCACGGACAACATGCGGGAGGCAGCCTCAGAGATTAAGAGCGAAGACTGCACAAGTGCCTCCAAGTCCGAGGTGGACATGTGGACTGAAGACAACGAGAACCACATATTTATCTATTTTGCATATATGACCAGCGGCTTCGACAACCGCGAAAACCGCGGGCTTCTGCTGACAGGCTCTTTACAGAGCCATTAATTGCTGTTTATCTGGAGTTTGCTTTGGCATCCTCCCCTGTCTCAAAAGTGCGGTCTAAATAGCGTCCAAAGTGACGCATTGTGGCTGTTTTCCCACCAACCGCGACAAAAAAAGGTCTCGGAAGCAGCGTCCGAGGATGCAATCGACCGACGAAAGAAAGCAGACGACACGCAGACGAAATCCGCCGGCAGCAAACGTTGTCGTTATGCAACCACGTTTTCTTTTATTTTTGTTACTTGAAGTTTTGCTAACATTGACTGGATTAATTTTCAAGCCAAAGGAAGGGTACAAAAAAAATGATTATGTTGGTGTCAATAAATCACGGTCGACGCGGGCACTTTCGATATTTCGTTGAAAGCAAACCGAAACCAGAGCTCTGACCGAAACAAGGAGGTAGCGCCATCTATCAATAGGAGCGTCAAACACACCACGCACCTCGACTTGATCGTCTGCGTCGCCACCCGCCGTTGACCCAGGCAAGTTTCTTAGCCTTATTTTTCACAGAAAGAGAACTACGCTTTTTTATTTTACAAGAAAAAACCGACCTGTGAAATGCACCTCTGACGAAAAGTTTAGATTGCAACGTGCAGGCATTGATTTTTACGGTCCATTTTAGATCGAGCCTGGTGACTTTAACCACGCTACACACACACACATATAAATATAGAATAAAGAACCACTTCTTTACCTAGCCGTTTCGACCCGAGGCGGGTCGAAACGTTTAAGTAAAGGAGTCAAGTTTTTGAAGTGGCCCTTTATTCTATACAAACTCTCGGCAGCCAAGCCCTGGACCTCGTACTTTCTCTCTCTCTCTATATATATATAGGTGATTTCAAATCAAATCGGGCAGGCAAGAAGGTCGAGATTTTTAATTTCGCTGGAAAAGATATATGTTATGGCGTCGTCTCTAAAAACGCAGTAGCCACAAACCGCAAGTTTGTCGATTTTTCGTTCTCAACTTACGAATTTTAAAAGAGGCCGCGGCGGAAAGCAGTGTTTTTCACATCCGTCGTGGGTCGGATGTTTCGCTCGATCTCCCGCCTTGGATTTTTAATTTACGGCGGGAGATCTGTACTCTGTAAGTACAGTCAAAAGGCTCTAATGCCATGAAAGAATTTCAGGCGTTTTTTTATGTAAAAATATCAAAAAAGCCCCCTCGGTTTGTTGTTGATGAACTTTAAAAATGAAACACTGGCGATCTACTGGGTTACGTCAATATTGTTTATGTCAATGGAGAGCCCCAAACACGCTCTTTATATATATTATAAAATCACTCAGCCGTATAAAATTTCCTTCGCGGTACGTTTACGTTGATGTTATGCGAAAACCAAAAAGTACCAGCTCTGGGCGCTGCCATCTTAACGGTAACGTCACGGCACCGGTAAGATGGCAGCGCCCAGAGCTGGCGGATGCGAGTTTGTTCGCTGCGCGGTAGCTGCAATGGGCAGCTGCTTTCCGTCGACTTCGGCCTTCTTCGTGCTCGCTGTCGCAGGTATAATGTGAAAATATGAAGGAATGAGACATTATACCTTTTTTGCGCAAGATCGCTCTGGATCATCTGGATATTACCACCTATGAGACAGCATCAGCCGTATCGCCGTACCGGTGCTCGGATTCCCGGATGTGTTCGAGGATCGATAGAACTTTGAGTGCTTTTAGCATAATATTTTCGCGTTCTCTTAGCTTTGTTTGAACGTTGGAATGTCTGAGAATCGACGCGAAATGTATGCGTCGGACGTAGGGCCTAGGGAAATTTGTTTCAGCCCTAGGCAACTGCATAATCGCAGCAACTTTTAGCGAGGAAGCTCCTGAGAAAGTTGAAAAATGTTGACTTCCACCATCTCTTTGTATCTCTTCAATAGACTTTTTTCAGAAGTGTGGGACACCTATACTTTGTTTCACCATAA